AATGGGTGGCGTGTGTGCGTACGGCGTTCGTGTGCGTGTGCGTGTTTCACAAACGACGTTCATGTCAAACCCGCGCCGCCTCCGCTTCCACGTCCTCAGGTCTGTTGCCTATTTGGGAAATGCCGTCGGGCTGCCAGCGGCGCCTGGTTTGGGTCTGATGGATCCAGATCACGTGCTACATCGGATCTTTGCCTACGACCCGCCAGCGCTGGACAGTTTGTGGGATGCCGTACGAGCCGGCAAGACGTGGAGCGGTCTCGTCTGCATGCCGTCACACCTAGATCTCCGGGGCCTGCGGGACGCCGCCAGCGCCGCCGCCATGTCCACGTCACCATGCGCCGGCCAACGCGCCCTCAGTGCGGCCGCCGACGCCACCGCTGCCGTCGTCCCCGAAAGCATGCCATGGAGCCAGGGGCTTTTGTACGGCGGCGGTGGCAGCGGTGGAGTCGGTGGCGGCGCCGCCGCCGATACGGACGTCGTGGGCTTGCTGCTACAGCAGCTGCAGCAGCACGGGAGCGGCACGGGCTCGCGGGTCGGTGGCGGCGCGACGGCGGCTACAGCTACGTGCGCCTCGGCGGCGGCGGTTGCTGTACCTGTCGGCTCTGGACGAGGGGTGGGGGAGAGGAGCACAGCTGTCGTTACCGCGGCCGCCGCTGGCTGTGGCAGCGGCGACAGCGGTGGCGGCGGCGGCGGGGGTTCCTGGGGATTCGGCTGGGTATCGCATCTGCCGTCCGCCAGCTTGCCATCGCCACAGGCGCCGCCGGCCGAACGCATCACCAGCGCCGCCGGTTCACTCTCTCCTGACGTGGTGGCCACTATTACAGGGCCGCCGCCGCCGCGAGCTACTGCAGCCACAGCCGGCGGCAGTAGCGGAGGCGGCTGCAACAACAGCGGCAGCCGCGGCAAACCCGTTATGAAGCTGCCGCGCAACGTCTCGGCACCCACCTTTCGCAGCGTTGCGAGCTCTAGTCGTCCTCTGCCGTCGGTACTGGAGGCGGAGGCAAGCTGCGGCGGCAGCGTTTGCCGCCGCAGCGGAAGCGCCGCCGCCGTCAGCGTGGCGACCCTTCTGGCGCACCGTGCCAGCTGGAACGCCGACCAGACATTCCCAGCCCAAGCTGGAACGTCGCTGTACGGCAGCTCTCCGTTGACGATGCCGTCAAGGCAGCTATCCACTTCGGTGTCCGTCGGTAGCGGCGCAGCTGGCGGCGGCGGCGGCGGCAGTGCAGGACTGTTTGGTCCTTTGGGCCTGATCCACAGCCCTTCTTCAGCTCAGCTGTCGTACTGGCCAACTCCCGCCG